TTACTTAGATTCCATGTATGAGTGAGATCATGTGATACTTGTCTTTCTCTGACTGGCTTATTTCACTTAGCATGATACTCTCCAGGTCTCGCCATGCTGTCTCAAAGGGTAGGAGATCCTCTTTTTTACTGCTGCATAGTATCCCATAGTGTAAATGTACCACAGCTTTTTATCTACTCATCTAGTGATGGGTACTTGGCTATTTCCAGATCTTGGCTATTGTAAATTATGCTGCTATCAACATAGGGGTGCACATATTCTTTCTGAATGGTGTTTTGGGTTTCTTAGGATATATTCCTAGAAGTGGGGTCACTGGATCAAATGGCAGTTCCATATTTAATTTTTTGAGGAAGCTCCATACTGTTTTCCATAATGGCTGCACCAGCCTGCATTCCCACCAGCAGGGTACCGGGGTTCCCTTTTCTCTATATCCTTGCCAACATTTGTCATTTGTTGATGGTAGCCATTCTGACAGGTGTGAGGTGAATCCCATTGTTGTTTTAATTTGTATCTCTGATGATCAGAGACTTTGAGCATTTTTTCATATGTCTCTTGGCTGTCTGTGTGTCCACCTTGGAGAAGGGTCTATTTAGGTCCTTTGCCCATTTTGTGATTGGATTGTTTGTCTTCCTTTTGTTATATGAGTTCCTTATATATTTTGGTTATTAACCCTTTATCAGATGTATTATTGCCAAATATGTTCTCCCTTTTCATTTTGTTGATTGTTTCTTTTGTTGTGCAGAAGCTTTTTAGTTTGATATAGTCACATTTGCTTATTTTCTCCTTAGTTTCCTTTGCCCTAGGAGATGTATCTGTAAACATGCTATGAGAGATGTCTGAGATTTTCCTGCCTATGGTTTCTCCTAGGATTTTTATGGTTTCTCGACTTACATTTAAGTCTTTCATCCATTTTGAGTTTATTCTTGTGTATGGTTTAAGTTGGTGGTCTAGTGTGATTTTTTTCCATGTATCTATCCAATTTTCCCAACATCATTTATTGAAGAGACTGTCTTGACTCCATTGTATGCTCTTGCCTCCTTTGTCAAATATTAATTGAGCGTAATGGTTTGGGCCAATTTCTGGGGTCTCTGTTCTGTTCCACTGGTCTGTTTTTGTGCCAGTACCAGGCTGTTTTGGTTACGGAGCTTTGTAGTATAACTTGATATCTGGTATTGTGATTCCTCCAACTTTGTTCTTCTTTCTCAAGATTGCTGCAGCTATTTGGGGTCTTATTTGATTCCATATAAATTTTTGGAGTATTTGTTCTAGATCTGTGAAATATGCTGTTGGTATTTTAATAGGGATTGCATTGAATCTGTAGATGGCCTTGGGTAGTATGGACATTTTAACGAAGTTGATTCTACCAATTCACTTGTTTATATCTCCTTCTATCTCTTTTTTCAACGTCCTGTAGTTTTCCGAGTAAAAGTCTTTTACCTCCTTGGTTAAGTTTATTCCTAATTATCGTAATTTTTTTGTTGTAATAGTAAATGGGATTGCTTGTTTAGTCTCTCTTTCTGAGTATTCAGTATTAGTGTATAAAAGAGCCATCGACTTTTGGGTATTGATTTTGTATCCTGCTACATGGCTAAATTCATTTATTAAAATCTAGTAGTATTCTGGTGTAGGCTTTAGGGTTTTCTATGTACAGTATCACATCATCAGCAAAAAATGAGAGTTTTACGTCCTCCTTTCCAATTTGGATGCCTTTTATTTCTTCTTTTTGTCCGATTGCTGTGGCTGGGGCTTCCAGTACTATGTTGAATAAGAGTGGTGAAAGCGGACATTCCTGTCTTGTTCCTGTTCTTAGGGGACATGCTTTTAGTGTTTTCCCATTGAGGCCTTGGGCTGCTTAGCAGAAGACGTAGGGCTCCTGAGTCCTGCTGCCACCTGGCGACTGCCCGTGAGGCACAGCCGCTGCAAGAGCCTCTGCTGGTACCTGAGTTGTGTGAGGTGGGGTCTCAGAGTCACAGGGTGGGGTGAGTGTTGTTTACTAGGTTAATGCAGGTTTAGATTTGGCAGCAGTGCTGTTTGGGGCCACTTGGCAAAAGGCACTGGACACACCAAGGCCTGCAGAACTTGAGAGTTTTTTAAGGAAGACTAGAGCGTGACCCAGGCTGGCTGTGTGATCCGGAAAGAGCCTCTCGCAGTGTGAGAATTGGGTTTGGCAGGATCTCAGGGGTGTCATTAGGATGGAGCCTGTGGTGTTCACCAGGCAGATTCAGATTTTCTTAAAAAGTTTTTTTTGAGGGGAGGACTCAACACAGGAAAAATGGTGCCGCTTGCTGGCGGTGTGCAAGGAAGGTTCAACACAGACATAATAGTGGCTGTCCTGTCTGGCTGGCGTGGCTCAGTGGTTGAGCATCCACCTTTGAACCAGGAGGTCACAGTTTGATTCCCGGTCAGGGCACATGCCTGGGTTGTAGGCTCGTTCCCCAGTGTGGGGTGGGCTGGAGGCAGCTGATCAATGATTCTCTCTCATTGATGTTTCTATCTCTCTCTCCCTCTCCCTTCCTCTGTGAAATCAATTACAGAATATTTTTTAAAAAATAGTGGCTGTCCCTATAACCGTTGCAGAAGCCCCATACTCAGTTTTTCCCCGTATGTCTCTGGCGCCTCCTGAGCTGCTGGCCCTCCACCAGGGCAGGGCCCAGGGCAAGTGCCCATGAGCAGGTGAGTCTGTGTTGGGGGCCCTTTAGGAAGACACCAGCAGCCTTCCGTCTCACCTGGATGCATAGAATCCCTGCTGCTCTTCATAGCCAGATGTGGCTCCTGGCAGTGGTGCCCCAGGCTGGGGAACTTGTGTGGGGCTGGGACCCCTTCTGCAGTTGAGATATTCATCCTGATTCTCAACCACTTGGGCATGTGGGACCAGCCCATTTCGTGTCTTTGCCCCTCCTACCAGTCTCTCTGTGGCTTCTTTTTTAGTTTCTCAGTTATAGGACTTCTGTTCAACTTGTCTTCAGACAATTCTCCAGGTTGATTGTTCTATAATCTAGGTGTAATTTTTTAAAACATATTTTTATTGATTTCAGAGAGGAAGGGACAGGGAGAGAGAGATAGAAACATCAATGATGTGAGAGGATCATTGATTGGCTGCCTCCTGCACACTCCCCATTGGGGATCAAGCCCGCAGGCCAATGCTCCATCCACTGAGCCAAATTGGCTAGGGCTCTAGGTGTAATTTTGATGTGGTCATGGGAAGAGGTGAGCACACTGCTTACATACTTTGTCGTCTTGACCAGATCCCTGGAAACAGTATTTTTGATCTGAGGTTGGGAATCCACAGATGCAGGGTGCCAACAGTGTACATTGTTATAAAGGCCCTGAGGGTCTATGGATTTTGTTATTGGCAGGGGTCACCCCAATGATACTGAGAGACAAGTGTATTGCGATTTACTTTTCAAATATGTTTTATTGATTTTTAGAGAGGGGAAGGGAGAGGGATAGAGAGAGAGAAATATTGATGAGAAAGGAACATCATTGATTGGCTGCCTCCTGCACGCCCCTCACTGGAGATCAAGCCCACAACCCAGGTATGTGCCCTGACCGTGAATCGAACCAGCGACTTCTTGGTTCCTGGGTTGACACTTATCCACAGACCCACCCGAGCCAGGCAGTATTCCATAATTTTTAAACCAAAAGGATTTATTTTATTTCAAGATGTTAAAAAGGTACAAAGTGTCATTTAACATGCCTTTAAGATGATTTTAAAACCATAATATTTCATTTGTTCCAAGTGTTAATGTTATTTTTAGCTTCTTTATCTTAATTGCATATGGAAAGGTTATATAGAACATATTCTAGAGTTGTATGGATGATTTAGAGCAGCGGTTCTCAACCTGTGGGTCGCGACCCCTTTGGGGGTCGAACGACCCTTTCACAGGGGTCGCCTAAGGCCATCCTGCATATCGGATATTTACATTACAATTCATAACAGTAGCAAAATTGCAGTTATGAAGTAGCAGCGAAAATAATTGTATGGTTGGGTCACAACATGAGGAACTGTATTTAAAGGGTCAGAAGGTTGAGAACCACTGCCTAACCAACTGAGCTACCTGGCCAGGGCTACTTGTGACTTTTAGATTCGTTGCAATAAGAAGTTTATATTTGTGTACTGACTATATTTGAATACTTATTTAAAGTCTTCATTATTAAATGTGCTGTTCTGTTTGATTGTCACAGAAATCCAGCGTGGTTGGTTTATTTTCAGCTTTTTATGGATGCGGGGTGGGCACAGCGGGATAATCTCCAGGGTCACACAAAGCAGGTGAGGAGCTAGGATTTGAGCAGAGGCACCCTGACTCCAGACCAAGCTGTTCATTAAGCATTGCACAGTCCGGCGTACATACAGAAACACTGCAGTGTTTACTGACTGGATAACGACTGCCCTCAAAAATAACATTCCTGCTACCTTTTTATAGTAGTGAGAACAGGTTAAAACATTTCTTCTTAAAGGTGTCTTTAGGTATGAAGGATCCTGTGGTGGAACAGGAGTGTGAGTCAGGAGGGAGGTTAAAGGAGGCAGATGTGGGAACACAGACTCCTGACAGGTCTAAGTGGCAGTAATGGCCAAGTCTCTCCGTTCAAGCATTTCACCTGTTTTAAGTTTGTGCTCATAAAGTGGTTGGAATTAAATGTGGACATTGACCCAGATATTTAACTAAAATGAAGGGGAACTTACTTTTTGGCTTGTAGAGGGGACTCACATTTGTTGAGCACCTGTTATATTGAGGGAAATGAGAAAGGAAAAACAAACATAAACACCAGTGAAAACAAGATGCAAATGTAAATCAGTTCCCTTTACAACAAACTAATTAAAACTTTTGAGATATCTGATATCTCTTCAGAGACTTAAATTACTAAAGTAAAAAAAGGGGGAGAAAATTTGAATCCAGTTTCTTCCATGGTCTCCTTAGCAAATCACTTCTGTTGCTGGCATGTACAGATGGTATTTGATTTTTTGTGGTTAAATATTTATGCGACTCCTTTCCTACCAGCTAAAGGAACTCTTAGTGAAGACACCATCAGAGTGTTTCTGCACCAGATTGCAGCTGCCATGCGGGTTCTGCACGGCAAAGGCATCATCCACAGGGATCTCAAACCACAGAACATCTTGCTGTCGTACGCCAATCGCAGGAAGTCCGGTGTCAGTGGTATTCGTATCAAAATAGGTAAATGGCTGTGCAGTGTTTCATGCAAAGAACATTTTTGAGACTCAGTGTTTTTAAATAATTATAGTTCAACTTTGTGAGAATGAGTGATTTTGTGATGCACTTTGAAAGTTTTTATTGAGGTCAGTGAGGTATGCGATAGCGAACACTTTACATTATTGGCAGCATATGCTAAATTTTGGGCAGGGGCTCAGGTTAGGAGATCCTGCTTCTCGTCCGAGGGAAGCGGAAGTACTGCAGTTGTTGGTGGCAAAGCCATAATCCAGTTCTACAACTCGGGATTTTAACATAAGACCGTTCAGTTCAGCCTTCTTATTTGGCAGGTTTTTTAGTGCTCTTGTATCTCAAAATTATTTGAAGCAGTTTGTAATGCTAGATTTTTTAAAAAACTTTTTTTATGGCTTTTAGAAAAATAATTTCTTAGCAATATTTTAAAATTTTCTAATGTTATCTGATATCTGCTGGACAAAAACAGTTCAAATTCTACACCTGGTATTGATATTTAATGAGAGCTATATTAATGAATTATTTATTATAATTAGCGTTTTCCCTTGCAAAGCTTGATGCTTTCTCCTTGGTTACAAAACTGGCAGAGCACTGACTTGTACAGTTGCTGACTACTACTATTTCTTAGCTTGTCAAAATTGAAGTAGCTACTTTTTTCTTTGGTAAACAGTCTTATTCAATGGCTGTTAATTTCTTTTGTGCCCTCTTATCTCCTGAAGAATTACATGATCTGTGTTAAGTGTGAGCAAAAGTATCATTTGTTTTTCTTCTTTTTATTTTGTGAAATAGCGGATTTTGGTTTTGCTCGTTACCTACATAGTAACATGATGGCTGCAACACTGTGCGGATCCCCAATGTACATGGTGAGTGAGTGTCCGCATTCTTGTGTGTTTACAGCCATAGCATGGTAAGTATAACGGTTGTTCCCATGTAGGATGTCAGTTTTTATAGAGTCTGAATTGTTATTTATGCCACTAGCATTAATTATGTTACTGATAATGCTATAATACAGACACCTTTTGCTTTAGCACAGTGGACTGTAATAGTTAGTCATCTTTGCCCATTGGTTTTAATTTTGTTTTTTAATTAGTTATTGCCCTGGCCGGTGTGGCTCAGTTGGTTGAACGCAGTCCTGTGCACCAAAAAGTCACAGGTTCCTTTCCTGTCAGGGCACATGCCGGGTTTCAGGCTGGATTCCCAGTAGGGGGTGTGCAGCAGGCAGCCCATCAGTGTACCTTTCATTTGTGTCTCTCTCCCTTTCTCTCACTTCCCTTCTCTCTAAAATCAATCAATAAAAAATATTTTAAAATAAATTAAAAATTAATTATTGTAGAAATTTCCTACTAGATTAAATTGAAAATAAAAATTGATGAAGTATGGGCATGCTATACTTGATGTGTAATATTAGGAATACTTACAAAACACTTTTTGGGGCATCTCTTCAGCTGTAGGATACATTAATTTTTTGCATATTGTCTCTCTTGATGAGATCCCTATATTGTAGAAGCTTTTTTACTCAGTGTCACACTTAAAGCCGAACAATCTTAGCTTTCCTCTTTATTCTTTCATATGCATATTGCCAGGTCTGATGGGGTTAGGCCAGTGATGGCGAACTTTTTGAGCTCAGCGTGTCAGCATTTTGAAAAACCCTAACTTAACTCTGGTGCCGTGTCACATATAGAAATTTTTTGATATTTGCAACCATAGTAAAACAAAGACTTATATTTTTGATATTTATTTTATATATTTAAATGCCATTTAACAAAGAAAAATCAACCAAAAAAATGAGTTCGCGTGTCACCTCTGACACGCGTGCCATAGGTTCGCCATCACTGGGTTAGGCTATGAAACTTCTAAACTAATGTGAAGTATTATGCTTAGAAATATCCTGCGTAGTAAATAAATGTACCTGTTTCAATTCTAAGTTTAAAATGGATTTATTTTTAATTAGGATTTTGTCTCATCTAAAATCAACTTTGAAATCAAGGGAACTAGTAATCAAAGTTGAAAAAAATTTTACATTAGATTTACTTTCTTGATCATAATTTTACTGCTTATATACAAAATTTTTAACTTAATATAATTTAGAAATTATTTTTCACTTGTTGAGTATGAAATTAGCCCGGCCTTGGGCTAATAGCTTTGAGGGTAGAGAGAGTGTTTGAACTGGTTTTTAAAGGAAATTGACTCAATAAGAAATTTACAAGGGACAATAAAAATGTTATGCCTGGAAAGTAAAATTTCACTATCTTTAATATATTTCACATTTCTGTTTAATGCTTGTCCTGATTGATGGTATTTTTAAAAAGCAGCATCTAATGAGAGGTGAGAAAATGGCTATAGCAAAGCAGCAGATAAATAAATGCCTTTGTTTTTAAGAAAATTTTTATTGTGTTTTGTAGTACAGTTTTTCTGTTATTTTAAAAGCTTTCAAGTGACAGAAAAAAAAGGATTAGTATAGCAAACACGTGTTCCTACCATCTATATTTAGCAAAGTTAACATTTTGCCATGTTTGCCTTGATTTCTTTTTTAGAAAGATTATTTCAGTGACAGTCCGAGTTTCTATTGTACCTCTCCCTTTTCCCACTTCCCATTTCCCACTTCTCTCCTCCCCCAGAAGTAACCTCTATCCTGTAATTGCTGTGTGTATTTCTTTATTATTATTTTAGTACTCTTACTGTATTTCATAATATATAAAAATGCTTGTTTCTACAACTTCTTTTCATGCAACATTGTTTTTGAGATTTACCAGTAAATGTCAGTGTAAGAAAGTAGTTCTGTATTCATTACAGTTTCATTTTAATTAGGAAAATATCACAATGTTTTTTGTTTATTTTAGTTTTGTTTTCCAGTTAATTAATATGTGCATATTAATTATGTAAATAACATAATGCTCTCTCTCTTGAACTTTCTTACCCCAGGCTCCTGAGGTTATTATGTCTCAACATTATGATGCTAAGGCAGACTTGTGGAGCATAGGAACAGTAATATACCAATGCCTTGTTGGAAAACCACCGTTTCAGGTATCCTGACTTTTTCTTATGTGATCAGTTTTGGGATCTTCTCATTTTGCATTTGCCTTTGACTTATAAAATGGAGAATAGTTTGAAAGCAGTGTTTTTGATTCCTTTGTGACTTATTTTGATTTAGTTACAGGCAAAAACTGCTGTAGTGAGCCAAAACAGTTCTTTAAAATTTTTTATCTACCTTTCCTTTGTAGTTGGACTGAGCCCGTTACAGGTTTTCCAGGGTATTGGAAACTAGTGGGTTTGAATTGTGATGTCAGCGTTTCCTGCTTAGACTGGTTTTGGGGTTTTGGAATCCAAGTAGGGCTACGGCTAGCCTGAGAATATCACTGGAAACTGTCTTCAGATAGCTATACCTATCACTGCTGGCTCAGAGAGCTAGTTGCTTAGGTTTTATGGAAATTATTTTGAGTCTGTCTCCGTTTCCTCTTTTGCCCTAACACCCTGTCAAAAAGAGGCCCTCTAGAGCAGGGGTGGGCAAACTTTTTGACTCGAGGGCCACAATGGGTTCTTAAACTGGACCGGAGGGCCGGGACAAAAGCACGGATGGAGTGTTTATGTGAACTAATATAAATTCAAAGTAAACATCATTACATAAAAGGGTACGGCCTTTTTTTTTTTTTTTTTAGTTTTATTCATTTCAAACGGGCTGGATCCGGCCCGCGGGCCGTAGTTTGCCCACGGCTGCGAGTCTAGAATGTAATCATGATGATTCCTCTTGAGTTTGTATTGCATATTTGCATAGAGGTTTTTTGAATCTGAATGCTGGATCCAAGTGAACTTATTAGCCTAAGATGGTATTTAAAACTCAGTGACACAGCCAGATCAGGCAGTTAGTTTTCAGAGTCAGTTTGTCTGCACCAGCAGCTTCACTCATTCGGCAGCTCTTTCTGGGAGTGCTGCTTGCTCCTTGTGGAGAGACGGAAGAGTAGGAAGAGTAGCGGGATTCTTAGTTCTCCTCCTGGAATCCCTCGAAGGTCTTAAGGTTAAATACACCCTGGTTTTACACAGTAGCAGTGTGCCTGTTGGATAGGCCATGAACATTAGCTCTTAACCTCTAGAATAGTGGTTTTTAATCTTTTCTAAGTTTCGGGCCTCTTGAGTGTTTGACCTCAGTGCCCAGATATGTAGAATTTGCATATCATTTCAGAGTTTTTATTAAGTGCCTGGTGGCCTCTATGGCTTGTTCAGCAATCTGTGGCTTCCAAGTTCAGAATCTATGTTCTATAGCAAGAATGTAAACATCAATCATATGCTTTAGAATTTTTGTCCCTGTTATTTAGTAAATTAAACCTTTTTTTTTTTTTTTTAAACAGGCCAATAGTCCTCAAGACTTAAGGATGTTTTATGAAAAACACAGAAGCTTAATGCCTAGGTATGTTTCATTACACTGAGCTTTACTCTTTGTTAATACAATGCTATTTATTTGAACTCTTTCTGTTTTATGTATTGCCATTATTGAGCCTTTTTTGTCAATGACAATGAGAACATTTGTTATAATAGGAAATTAGAAAATTACTAGTGCATCATAGGTGCCTGTGCAGTGCTGTATCATTTTTCTTTTTTATATATATTTAAAATTATATTTAAAAGAAAAACTATGGGCCTGACCTCTGTGGCTGAGTTGGTTGAGCATCGTCTCATGCACCTAGAGGTCTCCGGTTTGATTCTGATCAGGGCATGTGCCCAGGTTGCAGGCTCGATCCCCCATGTGGGTCATGCAGGAGGCAACGGATCAATGTTTCTCTGTCATCATTGATGTTTCTATCTCTCCCCGCCTCTCCCTTCCTCTCTGAAATCAATAAAACATATTTTGCTCAGCTGGTGTGGTTCAGTGGTTGAGCATTGACCTATGAACCAGTCAGTTGGTTTAATTCCTGGTCAGGGCACATGCCCAGGTTGCGGGCTCAATCCCCAGAAGAGGGCATGCAGGAGGCTGCTGATCAGTGGGATCTCTCTCTCATCATTGATGTTTCTCTCTCCCTTTCCCTTTTCTGAAATCAATAAGAATATATTTAGTACTATCTGGTTCCTACGTTCGATTCTGGTCAAGAGCACATGCCTGGGTTGCGGGCTCGATCCCCAATATGGAGCGTGCAGGAGGCAGCTGATCAATGGTTCTCTCTCTCATCATTGATGTTTTTATCTCTCCCTCTCCCTTCCTCTCTGAAATAAAAAATTTAAAAATATATATAAAAAATAAGAATATATTAAATAATACAACATATTTTAAAAAGAAAAGAAAAACTATGGAAGTTATATTTGTTCTGTGAGAGGAAGGAGATGCAATCAGAATAGATGTACATAAAGTAGAAAATAAATTCCCCCTAGGCCTTCCCCTGCTAGGGATAATGAGAGTTTGCTGTGTATCCTTCTAAATCTTCTGCAAGTTCCTTTTGCACGTTTGAATGCTTGTTTATGTATATATATATTTATATACACATGTATAGTTCAATACAAATTACATCATATTTTTCAAATTGTCCTGCAACTTTTTCTACTCTACAGTGTAACATAGACATTGTTCAGCAACTACTGCATTCTTTAAAATGGCTACACAGAGTCTCATAGTTATATATAATATCAGGTTTTGCTTGATCAGATGCTTGTTTTTATTTTCTGGTTACTACAAATAGGCGTTAGTGGGGGGCACAAGGAGGGAGAGTGTACACACATTTGTGCGTTTCTTTCGGATGGAGCTCTAAGGTGGACCTGGTGGACTGAAGGTAGCTCTCCCGATTGGCTGCACCTTGCTTATAGAGCACAGAGGGCGCCTCCCCCACACTTACCCAGGGGGGTGCCGTCAGACCGCTGCCTCACCAATGGGACGGACGGAGCGATAGAGCTTACTTGGCATTATTCTCTGTCTTAGTGAGGTTGACTCTTTTTTATTTGTTTAATGTCCTTTTTGTAGTTTTATTCTGTGAATTGCATATTCCTACTATTCCTTTTTCAGTTGCCTTGTGTTTTTCTTGTTGGATTTCAGGAAGCTGTATTATTTCTCACTTGTGTTTATTAAGCTCTGCCTTTTTCAGAACGAATTGGAGGTAGCTCTTTTTTTAATAGAGAACTCTATAGTAACTGTTAGTCCCAGGTTGCAGTTGTGTTAAAACCCAAGGTTGCCTGTGCTTGTGAAGTGCTTTCTTCATGTAGATATTCCAGCATTCCACAGGAGTGAGCACATAACAGGCATCATTCTCAAAGGCAGTTCCTTATTGTATGTTTTTTTTTCCTTTGAGGATTGAGGCTTTACTATGGTATTGGTATGAGATGTAGTGTTTGTGAAATCGCATATACATTTTTGTTTATCACATTTAAGGCAAAAGTCGCGTAGTTAATGTAGTATATAAACTCACCACTTAGGTTGTTTTGTTTTTTCCCCCTTTCCCTCAGCATCCCCAGAGAAACATCCCCTTATTTGGCTAATCTTCTTTTGGGTTTGCTTCAGAAAAACCAAAAAGATAGAATGGACTTTGGTAAGTAATATTTTCAATTTTCTCATGCTTTCTGATTTTATTTGTATATTCTGAAAAGATTTTTTTAAAAGACACTATAGAGGTTTCAGAAGAAAATTAAAGTCAGTTTCACTTTTCTTTCTATGTCTCTCTTTCTTTCACTTACTTTGTAAATATTTATTGAGTGCCTGCTATGTTTTAGTATGGGGGATAGAGTAATAAACAAAATCCCTGCCCTCATGATTCATATATTCTAGTGGGAAAGAGACCCAAACAAATTATAACTCTAATTCCTTGCTATATTAGGAAGTGATGAATACTGTGAAAAAACTAAAAGAAGGAAGAGAAATGAGGGTGGGTGGGGATTAAAATTTTAAGGTAGTCAGGGAAGACCTTTCTGAGAAAGTGACATTGGAATAAAGACTGGATTGACGTGTGTGTGCCACGTGGGTGTCTCTGGGAGAGCTTTTCAGGCAGAGTGAGTAGCCATACCACTGCCCTGCGCTGGGAAGGTCGTATAAAGACTTGGGCTTTCGCTTAAAGTGTAATGGGGAGCCATTGGAGGGTTTCGAGCAGAGGAACGATTGGAATTGGATCTGACTAATGTGAAAAGGACCGGTTTGGTGCTTGGTGAGAACAGCCTGTGGTGGGGGCTGGGGGTGAGGAGGCAGGAGGAGGCTGGCAGACTCAAGGAGACCAGAGAGCCACCATGTGAGAGATGAAGCAGCTTAGACTGTGACAAAAGCAGGGAGGTGGGAAGAAAGTGGTGCATTCTGGATCTTTTTGGAGGCAGAGGCACTGCATTTCTGGATGGATTGGATGTGGGGTGTGAGAGAAAGAGAGGACTTAAAGACGACTCCCAGGTTTGTGGCATGAGCAGCTGGAAGGATGGAGCTGTCAGTTACAAGGTTGGGAAAGAGTGTGTGGCTAGAGCAGGTGTGGGGGCAAGATTAGGGTTTAGGTGGGACATTTTAAATTTAAGATGGCCATTTGGTATCTAAGTACAGATGTCACAGGCACCTGGATATCAGAGGGGAGAGGTTGAGGCTGGTGAACTATTTGGGAAAAGATCTGGAAGAAGGAATGGAGGAGAAACACCCCAGAATCCTGGCAGAAAAGTTCCTAACTTCAAAGAATGGGGTTTAGGGCCCAGGGCAGCACCTCCTCATGGCGGCCCTGGTGCTTGTGCTCCGCGGCAGCTGAGCTCCAGCATGCATTGTGGGAGTGGGCTGCGGGGCCTCTTAGAGGCCACTGCCTATCTCGGGATTTTATTTTACTTTTTAAAATATATTTTTATTGATTTCAGAGGAAGGGAGAGGGGGAGAGAGATAGAAACACCAATGATGAGAGAGTATCATTGATCAGCTACCTCCTGCATGCCCCACACTGGAGATGAAGCCCACAACCCATGCATGTGCCTTGATCAGGAATCGAACTGTGACCTCCTGGTTCATAGGTCGACACTGAACCACTGAGCCACGTTGGCCGGGCTATCTCAGAATTTTATTTTATTTATTTTAATATATTTTATTGATTTTTTACAGAGAAGAAGGGAGAGAGATAGAGAGTTAGAAACATCGATGAGAGAGAAACATCGATCAGCTGCCTCCTGCACATCTCCCACTGGGGATGTGCCCGCAACCCAGGTACATGCCCTTGACCGGAATCGAACCTGGGACCCTTCAGTCCGCAGGCCGACGCTCTATCCACTGAGCCAAACCAGTTTCGGCTATCTCAGTATTTTAGATGCTTAAGGTGGAAGCTACTATCATTGATTTTAAACCTTTCTTCTTTTATAATATAAGCATTAAAGCTAAAAATTTCCCCCTCAGTACTTTAATATATCGCAGTGTATCTTCATGTACTATTTTACCACTTAAGGAAAGAACTTAGAGTGCTTAATATTATAGGGATTATGTAGTTTTTAAGGTTTTGAGAGAACATTTACCCTTGAAACTGTTTGGGTATCAGCTCCTCTTTGGGGGATAGTTTGTTAACTTGTTCTTATCAATCTTATGTAACATAGCAAGACTCCAAAATGACAGACCAAAAAACCCATAAAACATGTATAATGAAGATGCTTATCAGATTAACTCTAATCTTTAAATTTTTTAGAAAAAAATGTGTTTGCTATTTTTCTGTAGTAATCCTAACCTATATAATAAAACCCTAATATGTAAATTGACTGAACTGCAGAATGACGGTTGCTGTTACGGACACTGACCACCAGGGGGCAGATGCTCAAGGCAGAAACTGCCCTCTGGTGGTCAGCATGCTCCCACAAGGGGAGCGCTGCTCAGCCAGAAGCTGGGCTCACACTGGTGAGTGCAGCAGCAGTGGCGGGAGCCTCTCCTGCCTCCGCTGTAGGCGGGCAGTAATGAGTGAGGGGTCCCCAACTGCGAGAGCCCCGGACTGCCAGAGGGATGTCTGACTGCCGGCTTAGGCGCAGGAATTGAACCCTGACCTCCTGGTTCATAGTTTGATCCTTAACCACTGAGCAACACTGGCTGAGCTACTTACTATCTTTTATTATCAGGCTTACTGTGTAGCTTTTATTCTTAATGGATAGTGAAGAAATTAAATCAAATTAATATATTTTTTAAATAGTTAAAAAAATATTTTTTTGAAACCAGCTGCAGGACTACTTCTGGGATAGAAGGATAGAATTTAGTGTACAAATCAGCTACCTAGATTTCCTCTTAGGACAGTGAACAGCCATAGTTCAAAAGATGCCGAGGAAGGGCTGGTCGCAGCCCAGTGCTCCTGGCTGGTCTGCTGAGAACACACACCGGCCGCGCTGCCTCCGGGCCTCAGGGTGTGCTGTGTTGGTAATGGATGTTTTGGAAATTCACAATTATTTTAAAATTTTCATTGATTAAGAATTACGTATAATTTGATAATTTTGATTTATAAAAATAATATGCTTTTACATTTAAAGGAAATGGAGGCAACATAAATGAGTTAATAATTGTTTATGATCTCTATGTTGACTACATTGACAAGATTAACCTATTTGCTAGTCAACGGCTGAGTAAGGTTGCGTTCTCATTTCTCATTACAGAAGCGTTTTTTAGCCATCCTTTTCTTGAGCAAGTTCCAGTAAAAAAATGTGAGTACCCACTTTTTGCATTTTTATTAAGGAGAGAATGCAAGCTTAAGGAAAACATTAGTATTTTGTATTACAAAATTAACTTTTTCCTGTGTTTTTCAAGATTTCATTTACCTTTTTTTAAATACCTATAGTTGTGTTTATTTCATAACAGTTCTGTTTTTTACTTCAGAAGCCAAATTGAAATAGTTTTAGTTGTTGCTGCATTTAACAAGTAGGTTAATGTGAATTTTTGGTCTACACAGACCTGTAGCAGTTTTGACAGGTTTCTCTGTCAGTCAAGTCATGTGGTTGAACTACAAAGTGGTGTTCCTCTTCTCCTGTGTTTTTCTGACAGCCTGCCCCGTCCCCGTGCCCCTGTGTGCTGGCTCTGCCTCGGGAAGCGCCTGCGGCAGCTCTCCGCCTTGTCGCTTTGCCTCTCCACCAGTGAGTTCTGGTTTTATTAAAATACTTGCAGTTGTGCTGCTGTCTGTGCACTGATGGAGCCTGTGACTACACTGTAGGTATGCTTTTTATATGTAGTGTTTGCCTGCAGCTGAGGCTTAGGTCAAATGGACCTAGCTTTTGATCTCCACCCTTTTTTAGCCTCAGCAAGAAGTTTTATCGTCTGGCTGTTTTCCTCTGAATATTGAGTGTGTTACTCTGGTCTCTGCATGCCCTTGGGGTTGGGAAGGGTGATACTTGCAAACCAAGAGAGCCTCTTACTTAAGTCCTGGCGGATAGGAATTAATAAGACTTATTTTATCTGAATGTCGTGAACAGTTTGGGTAGTTACTGTGCATGGAATGCCCGTGTGGAGGAGCCACCCTGGAGTCCGTCACTGACTTGGGCTCCCTTAGTTGTGGTTACTGGCCCTGCAGGGTTGGTCCACTCCAGCCTCTTCTTTCTGCTGAGGTTCCCAAGCCATTTCTTCAGGGCTTTCTTCCCTCCCCTCTGTGCTCCTTCCTGACCCTGAGAACTGCTCAGTCTGGTCACTGCTGCTTCCTCTCCACTCCCAAGGCCTTCCTTTACCCTCTTCTGTATTTTCCCCGACTGGCCCTTCCCCAGATCTCTGTTGCAACCTGGGAGGGTGGTGACCTTGAGGATTTTGTACAAGCAGAAGGTCCAAGGGCTCCTGTGTCAGCTATTGTATGTTCCAGGTTAGCCTGGTACCATGAATTTCTTCAACTCTGCTGGCAGGAGGGTGGGGAGCCATAAAAGGAGGTGCTTGTATGATTAGTTGGTTGAGGCCACTCAGAGGTCTAAAAGTATGGGGCTTGGGAGCTTCATAACCCTTGCTCGCCATACGAACTAGGACAAAGGACGTAATCTCTCTAAACTGGTTTCTCATATGTAAAGTGAGTGTAATTTACCTCCTTCATGGGGTTTTAAAAGCAGAAATGAGCAAAAGCACTTGCTGCAGTGCTTGACACTCAATAAATACTTAGGAAGGGCAACTGCTATTGTTATTTTCCTGGGAAACCTAACAACCCTTAGCTAGCGGGATGCTGGTCAGCCTATGGCAAACACCCTTCTCAAAGCCCTGCAGACTCAAGCTGAATAGAACAAGCAGGTGGGCGAACAAGACTTCGTCATATTCCCATGAGTTTAAAGAACGACAAGCCCTGGATTTGGAGTGACGGGATAAGTGGGGAGGAAGGGTATTGCCATGGAAAGACTGTAGGCTTTGTTTGGAGTCGTCATAACTGGCCTCAGTGCTGTGGCCACTTGCTCATTCGTGACTTTGGGCCAGTCAGGTCCAGAGCTGAGCCTGGCTTCTGTATCTGTAAGGTAGGCCTAATTAACCTTTGCATAAAGGCAACGTGTGATAATCTGTGCAGGATGCCTGGCATAGTGAGTACTTGATAAGCCGTAGCTATTATTATGAAGTAATATATGTGATACGCATGATACATAATACAGAAAGCAAAGTTTATGCTAGAAAAAGGAAACAGGACGCATCTGTGGGAGCAGGAGTAATGGAGCCTGTGGGTGGTAGAATAACCAAGGGTTGAGGAAGAGGCCAGTGGGAAGGATGTTGAGCTGGAAATGGCTTTACCTGGTGAGAGCATGGTGGTGTTTCTGCTGGGTCGGTAGCATTGAAAAGCAGAGCAACACAGGAGCGAGGCTTTGGGCTACTGGGGAAGAGAGGACAGAGCGCTGACGGGAGTGAAGAGGCACAAGAGAGAGGAGGCATATTCAGAGGGAACCCATTTTTAGAAGGCCTTTATGAAAAGCTCACGCTTAAAGTGAAAATAAAAAGGGAAGCTGGAGAATAAAAGGAATGAAGGAATGTTTCTATAATTTCCAGTTGGTGAGATTAGAAAATGGCAGGTTTGACTGGTTTTTAACATAATCTGCCAAAAGTAAGATGATTTCATACATGCGTTCTCTCCCTTCCTATGGCTGGAGTAGATTCTTACTCAGGGTTAATGCACACAAGTGTGCACATTCTTTTTTTTTTTTTTTTTTTTTTTTTACTTTCACATGGCTATAGATTAAATGCTCTTTAGATAATATCTCTTTAATATGTATTATTTAGTTTTATTCATTTACTAAAAGCCTTTTTTGTGTGAGGTCCTGGTTGATACTGATGAATGATATGACAGTAAGGAGTTTTAATTGTGTGGAGAAGAGGCAGGCTGATCAATCACTATTAGAAGCAGGCCTGCCAATGTCTTTATTGCCTGTGGGAATGTGGATGAGGGGCATGAGATCAGACCAAGAACTAAGGAAGGCTGCTCAGAAGAGGGCATTGAGCTGAGATTTGAAGGAAGAGTTAGCAAGGTGAATTAGTAAAAGAATAGTATTGTAGGCAGAGAAATCTTCATTCACGAAGTCACGGAAGCACAGCCCACTGAAGGAACTCTGTTGCCCTCCATGGCCACTTATGTTCAAACTAGAGGCCTGGTGCACAAAAACTTGTGCACTTCGGGGGCGGGGGGTCCCTCAGCCCGGCCTGTGCCCTCTCTCAGTCTGGGACCCCTCGGGGGATGACCACCTGGTGGCTTAGGCCCGCTCCCTGGGGGATTGGGCCTAAGCTGGCAGTCAGACATCCCTCTGGCAGCCCGGGAGTCCTCGGGGGATGTCCACTTGCCAGTGGGGAGCAGACCTAAGCTGCAGTCGGACATCCTTAGTGCTGCTGAGGAGGCAGGAGAGGCTCCCACCACCACCGCTGTGCTGGCAGCTGGCAGCCTGGCTTGTGGCTGAGCAGCCCCTGTGGGAGTGCACTGACCACCAGGGGACAGCTCCTGCATTGAGCGTCTGCCCCCTGGTGGTCAGTGTGTATCATAGTGACCAGTCATTCCCAGTCATTCTGCTGTTAGGGTCAGTTTGCATATTATCCTTTTATTATATAGGATTGGTTTGAACTAAGTAAAATTAAAAAATGAGTTTCTTAGTCACACTAGCCACATTTCAAGTGCTCAGTAGTCATATATAGCTAGTTGCTGCCATAGTGGACAGCTTCGATATGGAACTTTTCCATCATTGCAGGAAGTACTCTTGGACAAGTCTTCTAAGCAGTCCAGTCTGGTAGGTATAAAGAGCATTGGTGAAGGGAAAATCAAGTTAAAGGGATAGGCTGTACCTTGAAAGAATTTAGGCATTGCTAAGGAGTTCAAGTTTACCCTTAAAGCTATCTGAGGTATTTGAATGATTTTATGTGGAGGTATGATAGGATCCTTTGTGTGTTTTAGCTAGAGTCTTCTTTTTTAAGCTAGGTGCTTCTAAAAGCAGGTGGAAGGCCAGCCTGGAGACAAGTAGAGAGATCTCTCCACTGGAGGAAAGAACCCGAGACTATTGCAGCTTTTTTGTTTTTGTTTTTTTTGGCGTTGCTCAGTGGTTGAGCATCGACCTGTGAACCAGGAGGTCACGCTCTGATTCCCAGACAGGGCACATGCCTGGGTCAGGCTCTATTCCCAGTAGGGGGCGTGCAGGAGACAGCTGATCCATGATTGTCTGTCATCATTAATGTTTCTTTCCTTCCCTCTCCCTTCCTCTCTGAAATCAATAAAAATGTATTAAAAGAAAAAAAAAGAATAAGGACCTGAACTAAGGCAGCAATAAGAAAAGGAGAAGGGGATGGAAAGCAGGTGGGAGAAAGGTAATGAGTTTGCAGAGCTTGGAGATGCTTGAACTTGGGATTTAAGGAAGAGGGGGACCTTAAAGGCAGTGGATAAAGGGATGATGGTGAAGGTTCTCGGTAAGGGAGCCTGGGGAGGAATGCTTGGGAGTACAAAAGCGATGAATTCACATTGTGCAGGCAAGTAGCGGAGGGGCTAGAACTCATTGGAGAGAACCTGCGCTGTGGCGTCCTCATTATGTAATGGTGCTTGAAGGTAGGGTCGCATGGTGATGGGGTGAGTATAAAGCACATGAAGAGTAGAGAAGCAGGGTGACACTTCGGGGAATTCTGTACTCCTCTCTCCTAAGGGGCAAGTGAGAAGCAGGCACTCCCAAGAGAGAAGTAGGAAAAGCAAGAGAGAGCAGGGTTACTGAATGGGGGGGTTGAGTGTCAAGAAAGGAATGGTCCACAGTTCAGTTGCAGCAAAGAATTCAAGGAACTTAAGGAGAAGGCAGTGGTGGTTACTGGTAAACTTAATAAAGGCAATTTTATCCGAGCATTGAAGGCAGAAAATGGATTATGGTTGGTTTAGAGGTACACGGGAAGTGAGGAATTTGAGTCAGTAAAGATGGATAATTTCAAGAAATGTTAAGAGAAGATGGTAATTGAGAGGGTTGCAGGGATTTGAGATCTGAGAAAATGAAACATGTTTATGTGCAGAGGGTAGAAGGTCAGAGAAAGGGAAGTTGACGTAGGTGCTTGAAGAGGTGGGGAGAATGAAATTGGAACACAGATGGTGGAGAGATTAGCTTTGAACAAGGAGAAGCATCTCTTTCACCAAGACGGCTGTGGATACAAGTAATTTTATAAATAGCAGAGGAAGAAATTCAGAAAGTTTCTGCCTAAATCGCTAGGAAGACGTTGTGGTCATACTTGGAATAACATCTCAACTCAATTGCTTCTAGTTGTGTGATTTTGGGCAAATCCTGACCTTCTGAGTTCTGTTTATTTAAAGATGGAATGGATTCCATAATGGGACTGAAGTTAAGGAAAGCTCTTCACAGTGTCCAGCCCATGGTTGATGTTCAGAATAGTTAGTCCTTCCGTCTTACCTTCCTTGAGATATAAATTATCTTCAAAAAGTAATAAGGAGGCCCGGACAGAGAGGCTCAGTGGTTGAGCGTCGACCCATGAACCAGAAGGTCGCAGTTCGATTCCTGGTCAGGATACATCCCGGTTGTGGCTCAATCCCCAGTAGGGGGCGTGCAGGAGGTAGCCGATCAATGTTTGTATCTCATCATTGATGTTTCAATCTCTCCGTCCCTCTTCCTTCCTCTCTTTGAAATCAATAAAAACATATTTTTTAAAAAGTAATGAGGTTTGCCGAAACCAGTTTGGCTCAGTGGATAGAGCGTCGGCCTGCGGACTGAGGGGTCCCAGGTTCGATTCCGGTCAAGGGCATGTACCTGGGTTGCGGGCACATCCCCAGTAGGAGATGTGCAGGAGGCAGCTGATCGATGTTTCTCTCTCATCGATGTTTCTAACTGTCTCTTTCTCTTCCTCTCTGTAAAAAATCAATAAAATATATATATATATATATATATATAAAAGTAATAAGGTTTTATATCAAGTGTGCATCACACACAAAAAGAAGAGATAAGGAGATTTGAGACGGGTTTTATTGCACAGTAACTTTCAAAGAAGCACCGGTAATGAATTTAAAGAGCATTACAAAGTATTTTTTCTCTTCTTAAATAGAAACAAAGGTTAAATGTAATAGGGACTTAATACATAATAACTCATGCATTTTGATGTTTTAGAAAACCATTGCATAATCAAGACATTCAATTAGAGTTGTCACTAGAGACCTTGAACTAGGCAAGTGCCAAAAGGTGCAAAGAGCTACTTACACCTGAGTATTTGTTTACATATATTCATATGTTTTCTTCTCTTGCTGTCCCATCTCCCACAGACCAACTCCTCCCCCTAACAAAGGAAAACAAAAGAAATGCACCCATACCTTGAAGGTTTTCCAAATCTTTCTTTTTGTGAGTGTAAATACATCTCTCGGCTGAAATGCAGTTATCCTTATTGATTTGTTTACATTTTTACATAATATGGTCTGCTTTCCCGTTTACAGTGTTTTTTGCAATTGGAGATTTAAAACTGTGTGTGCTTGCAAGATGCCATTAAAGTCCCTGGACAGTTTGTTTTAGTTGTTAAGTAAACAGTTATTGAGTATCTGCTTTGCTAGGCAATGAGCTGAAACTGGGGATGTTGGGACAGTACAGACTCATCATAAAACTTGTAGGTGAGGCATACAGGTACATGTGCTAAATGGCAATATATATATTTCAAAGAGGAAGGGAGGGGGATAGAGAGATAGAAACATCAGTGATGAGGGGGAATCATTGATTGGCTGCCTCTTGCACACCCCCTCCTGGGGGTTGAGCCCGCAACCCAGGCATGTGCCCTTGACCGGAATCAAACCTGGGACTCTTCAGTCCCCAGGCTGACACTCTATCACTGAGCCAAACCGGCTAGGGCAGCATGATATATTTTTAAGTATCACTTTTGGAAAACATTTAAGAAGTCTTTATGCAAAGAGATTAAAAACTGTGCTTTTTGAAGGGAAAGATTTCCAAAGAGATTTATTAAAATTTTAGATGGAATTGAACTTTATGCCTAATTGAATGAAAAAAAACAAACACCAACTCTTTATTGTAATGCCTGTTCTGACTTGCACTTTATTATTAGGCCAGTGTTAACTTTACGTTGTTAATTTTAGTCCCTTGCAGATATGCAGCATATTCAGGAAGAAAACCTATCCTCCCCACCATTGGGTCCTCCCAACTATCTACAAGTGTCCAAAGATTCTGCCAGTACTAGTAGCAAGAACTCTTCTTGTGACACGGATGACTTTGTTTTGGTTCCACACAACATCTCGTCAGACCACTCATGTGAGAATCTTTTCTACTTGTACACATTCTATTTTTTAATTTACTAGACTAGCATTTTTTAACCTTTATATATGCTTTCTTATTTAGTTGTTTGAATTCCCAATATTACATGCCTACCTTTCTAAAATCTGCTTGGCCATCTTCCATACAACAATAACTTTGGATTCTGAAGGTACATGAAAACTATAGGAAATGATCTCAAATTCTGTTTGTGTCTAAAGAAATAGAGAAGCCAACATAATAAGAGAAATTAAATTAAATTTAAGGAGAGGAATTAAGGGAAGACCTCTTTTGGAAAAAACCTAAGCCTCAAAGGAGTCAAAAAAATCTGGATGCTTTCAGAGATAATGGCAGGAATGAACATCCTAGATAGATAGGAAGAACTTTTATAAAGAAAGATGAATCCAAGTTTCTATACTAAATACTATAGGCCTGTTTATATTGCCTATGTCTTCATGTGTGAGTTTTGGCAAATTGGGTGTTTTACAGAATTGGTCCATTTCATCTAGGTTATCAAATTTGTGGGCCATAGAGTTATTCATAGTAGCACTTTATTATCTATCCCCCCCCCCCCTTATCTGTCTTTTTAATATCTGTGGGACCTTTAGGCATGTCCCTTCTTTCATTTCCAAAATTACAATTTGTGTCCTTTCTCTTTTTTTCTTAGTTACCTTGGAAGCTTACCGATTTTCTCAATCTTTTCAAATAACCAACTTTTGGTTTTGTTGATTTTATGTTTTCACTTTCATTTATTTCTGCTCTAATTTTTATTATTCCTTTTATTATACTTTCTTTGAATTTAATTTGCTCTTCTTTTTCTAGTTTCCTAAGATGGAAATTTAGATTGAATTCAGATCTTTTTTGTTTTCTAATATATGCATTCAATGCTATACATTTCTTTTCAAGGACTGCTTTCACTGCTTCCCACAAATTTTGATAAGTTGTGTTTTCATTTTCATTTACTTCAAAATACTTTAAAATTTCTCTTGAAGTACTATGTTCTTTGTCTCATGAGTTATTTAGAAGTGTGTTTGTTGTTTAATTTCCACATATTTTGGGATTTTCCAGTTATCTTTTTGTTATTGACTGCTTTTTCTTTTTTTAATTAATCCTCATTGCCGGGGTTCTTGTCCCAGCATCAAGAAGGGTTCAGGAATCTGGAAAAGGCTGATGCGTAAAGAGTCCAGGGACTAATAAAAAGTCCGGAGACGAGATATAACTTTGAAAGGCATTGGGGGTCAGCTAAAGGAACTGAAGACTCCCTCCTTGTCTAGGACCCTTGCTTTTATTAACACAATTTGTCCTAAGGCAAGGTGGAGATAATACACGTCAAAGGGTACAGAAGCATTGTCAGTTTGGGGAATAGCCTACGGCTGTTTAGGTGTTTCTTCAGTAGGAGGCAATAACATGTAGATTAAGATGCTCTTTAATTGTCTGGCAGCCACAATCAGTTTCCTATTCAGGTTTGGGGAAATGCCTTTAGCCATTCCCAACATGTGTGACTCAACCCTGTTGAGTCTCCAAGTTTCATCAACTTTTTGATGAAACTCTTTGAAATTATGACATGCTGGGATTGGTTCCCGGCACCTCATTGAGGATATTTTTCCATTGATTTTTAGAGAGAGTGGAAGGGAGAGGGAGGAACAGAGAGAAATATTAGTGTGAGAGAGACATATTGATTGGTTGCCTCCACACGCTCCCCAACCAGGGCCAGGGATTGAGCCTGCAACCAAGATATGAGGTAGGTGCCCTTGACTGGAATCAAACCCACAACCCGTCAGTCCGTGGGTTGATACTCTAACCACTGAGAAACTGGCTAGGGCCTATTATTTATTTCTAGTTTTATTCCATCATTATCTGAGAGAAGAGACATGTGATTTTTACTCTTTTAAATTTGTTAAGGTATGTTTTATGGTCTAATCTATTTTGGTGAGTTTGAGAAAAATGTGTATTCTGTTGTTGGATGAAGTAGCCTATAGATGTCTATTATATCCAGTTGATTGATGGTGTTGTTGAGTTCAACTATGTGCTTACTGATTTTTTTTGTCCGTTGGATCTGTCTATTTCTGAGGGAGGATTATTGAGGTCTCCAACTATAATAGTGGATTCATCTATTTTTCCTTGCACTTGTATCAGTTTTTGCCTTAATGGTTTGATTCTGTTGTTAGGGGCATACATGTTAAGAATTGTTATGTCTTGAAGAATTTATATTTACGTAAATATAATTTTATCATTATGTAATGCTCTTCTTCATCTCTGATTACTTTTCTTACTTTGACGTCTGCTTTGTCTGAAATTAATATAGTACTCCTGCTTTTTTTCTATTAGTATTAGCATGGGTTTTTTTCCCTATCCATTTACTTTTTTTTAAACAATATATTTTTATTGATTTTTAGAGAGAGAGGAAGGGAGAGGGAGAAGGGAGATCAGTGAGACAGGGAAATATCGATCAGTTGCCTCCTGCATGCCCTCTACTGGGGATCGAGTCTGCAACCTGGGCATGTGCCCTGACTGGGAATCCATCTGGTGACCTCCTGGTTCATGGGTCAATGCTTAACCACTGAACCACACCGACCAGGTATATTTTCTTCTCCTCCTTCTTCTCCTTCTTCCTTCCTTCCTTCCTTCCTTCCTTCCTTCCTTCCTTCCTTCCTTCCTTCCTTCCTTCCTTCCTTCTTCCTTCCTTCTTCCTTCTTCCTTCTTCTTTCTTCTTCTTTTTTTTTTTTTTAAAAACAACCCCCCCCCCTTTACCCCAAACATGTACTTATTTTTTTATATATATTTTGATTTTTTACAGAGAGAAAGGGAGAGGGATAGAGAGAAACATCGATCAGCTGCCTCCTGCACACCTCCCACTGGGGATGTGCCCGCAACCAAGGTACATGCCCTTGACCAGAATCGAACCCGGGACCCCTCACTCCTCAGGCCGATGCTCTATCCACTGAGCCAAACCGGTCAGGGCCTTCTTTCTTCTTTTAATAAAGAGCAAATAAGCTCTTTTCTTTTTAAAAATATATTTTTATTGATTTCAGAGAGGAAGGGAGAAGGGAGTAAGATAGAAATATCAGTGATGAGAGAGAATCACTGATAAGCTGCCTCCTGTACACACCCTACTGGAGGATTGAGCCCACACCCTGGGCATGTGCCCTGACTGGGATTTGAACCGGCAACCTTTCAGTGCATGGGATGACATCCAACCAACATAGCCACACCGGCCAGGGCCATCCATTTACTTTTAATCTCTGTGTGTTTCTCTGTTTTAACGTGAGTTTCTTGTAGGCAACAAATAGTTGGGTTGTATGTTTTCATCCACTCTGAAATTTCTCTTAATTGGTGCATTTAGACCATTAGTGTTAAAAGTGATTATCGATAGAGTTAGGTTAATATCTACCATATTTGTAACTTTTTTCTATTGTCATTGTTCTTTGTTTCAATTATTGTCTTTCACTCTTTTGTTTTTCCAATTATGATTTCATTTTCTTTCTGTACTTAGCATATCAATTATACTTTTTAAAACTTTAAAATCTATAGTTTTGTGGCTCAGTGGTTGAGCATCGACCTATGAATCAGGAGGACAGGGTTCGATTCCTGGTTAAGGCACATGCCCAGGTTTTGGGCTGGATCCCCAGTAGGGGAAGTGCAGGAGCCAGCCAGTCAGTGATCTCTCTCATCATGGATGTTTCAACCTCTCTCTCCCTCTTCTTTTCTCTTTGAAATCTATAAAAAAAAAAATCATATTTTTTTAAAAAACGTTTTTTGTGGTTGCCCTAAAGTTTTATATACATTTATAAATAATCGAAGTTCACTTTCAAATAACACTATACCACTTCACAGGTAGTGTGAGTTCACCTTATTAATAACAAAATAATCCTTATTCCTTTCTCCTATCTCTTGTATTATTGCAGTCATTCATTTCGCTAGTATAAGCATTCATAAGTATTACACATAAGGTATATACAAGCATACATAACTGAATACATTGTTGCTATTATTATTTTGAGCAAACTGTTAGATCATTTAAGAATAAGAAAAATGAAAGTTTTTATTTTACCTTCACTTATTCCTTCTTTGATGATCTTCCTTTTTTTTTTTTTTTTTTGGTAGATCCATTTTTCTGTTATATTATTTTCCTTCTCTCTAAAGAATTTTTAACATTTTTTGCAAGGCAGATCCAGTGGCAAGAAATTCCTCAATTTTTATTTGTCTGAGAAAGTCTTTTTCTTCACTTTTGAAGGATAATTTTGCAGGATACAGAACTCTAAGTTGGTGGCTTATTTCTCTCAACACTTTAAATATTTCATTTTACTCTTTTCTTGCTTGAATGGTTTCTGAAGAGATGTAGATGAAGGTTTTATCTTTGTCCCTCTTTAGGTTTAGTGTTCTTTCTTCTGGCATCTTTCAGGATTTTTTCTTTATTTTTGATTTTCTGTTCTTTGAAAATGATATGCCTAGGGGTACAGTCATGTACCGCATTATGATGTTTAGGTCAGTGATGGACCACATATACCAGTGGTTCTCAACCTTCTGGCCCTTTAAATACAGTTCCTCATGTTGTGACCCCCAACCATAAAATTATTTTCATTGCTACTTCATAACTGTAATTTTGCTACTGTTATGAATCGTAATGTAAATATCTGAAATGCAGGATGGTCTTAGGTGACCCCTATGAAAGGGTCATTCGACTGCAAAAGGGGTCGTGACCCACAGGTTGAGAACTGCTGACATATACAAAGGTGGGCCCATCTATATATGTAAAAGGCTAATATGCTAAGTGTCCGGCTGTCCAACCGGTGACTATGACATGCACTGACCACCAGGAGGCAGACGCTCAACACAGGAGCTCCCATGACACATATTGGCCATTTACAGAGAAACAGTACCATGGACCTCGCGCCCACAAAGCAACACTTGGCTTCCCCCAACACAGTCCCTGCCACCACCCCAGAGTGACACCCCACCAAATTACAGCCAGTGCTGCTGAGACCCCATGATGCAAAATG